GACGGACGGACAGACAGTCACCGCTTAATCGATTTCTCTTTTCATTCTGATCATTTATGTATACATTTGTCTATATCTATCTCGATTCGTTTTGCCTGTTACAAACAACCGTTATGTGAACAAAGTTATAATACCCTTGTGCACAAGTGCGCTCGGGTATAAAAAATGCCTCTTTCTCTCCTACCATAAAATAAATAAATGGGTTTGAAACCTACTTTTTTTATTTAAAGAGGCGGTTTTATTCCTTCTCCCTGACGTCAAGATTTATTTAAAGGAGTTTGTAATTTTAAAGATATGATTAACTCAAAAAATTATTCAAAAAATTCAATGAAATATAGAATAAAAAGAGGAAATTTAATTAGAATTTAAAAAAATTAAAATTTTCTGGATTCACCAGGACGAATAGGTAATTTTTTAAGCTGACTTTAGAAGGATGAAATTCGAGGATGTCATGGAGTTTATATAAGTCCTTAACATATAATTTTGTCAAGAACAAATACATATTGCGAAATTTAAAGAATACAACTTTAAAAGGACATTTTCAGTACTTACCAGTATTTGTGTAGCAAAAAATTTAATCTGATAAAATTTTACAGAATTTTCTGTTTAATTTGATACTCATACTTCTTCTCTAAGCACATTTCACTGAATTCTTTAAATCATTTTTGAATTACTGACGTCAGGGTGAAAAACTAAAAAAGCAATTTTACTATGAGGCGTATTCTTGTTTTCTTTGAATCGAAAATATGAAATTTTTCTATAGAAAATTATACGAAAATGTCATGATTTTCGGTTCGTACACAAAACGGGAATACGCCTCTATTTGGCCCATAATTTCGCCCAGGATTCTTGGCAAATAATTTTTTTTGGGACCTTAAAAAGGCCGGGATGCCGGGATTAACATTCCTAGTACATACCCAGCAAAACGAGGCTGACTAAAACTAACGGGTGATTTTTTAAGAGCTTGACGCATAAAATTTGCAAAATCTCATCGGTTCTTTATTTGAAACGTTAGANCAACACTCAGGAAAAAAATGTTTCCTTTACACACAACACATTCTCAAAAGGTTTTGTCAAATCATGAGAGAGAGGGATAGGAAATCACATGTATTGATGACAGTAACAGATGATGGTAATTTTTTGCCTGGGATCCTAATAAAAATTACTATCAGGCCTATTCTGCTTGTTACAGAACTTTTTGACACCGCAAAATTTTGTTACCAAATAATAACCACTTCTTGTAACCGCGATTCTAAGCACCTTGGTAACAATTTCAATTANCAGGAAAAAAATGTTTCCTTTACACACAACACATTCTCAAAAGGTTTTGTCAAATCATGAGAGAGAGAGGGATAGGAAATCACATGTATTGATGACAGTAACAGATGATGGTAATTTTTTGCCTGGGATCCTAATAAAAATTACTATCAGGCCTATTCTGCTTGTTACAGAACTTTTTGACACCGCAAAATTTTGTTACCAAATAATAACCACTTCTTGTAACCGCGATTCTAAGCACCTTGGTAACAATTTCAATTATTCAGCAATTTAACTATGAAGTTTTGTATAAAATCTGGTGTTGCATACTTCACGGGGGATGATAACAAAATTTACCAGTGCGCAGAATGCGAAAAGGGTTTAAAAATTGCCGGAACTTTATTTACCGGTAACAAAATTTTTGTTACCAACGCAGAATAGGCCTATACATCGATCTGCTAACGACTAACGCCACATTCTGTCAGATGTGTCGCTCTTAAATCCCATCGATCTGGTATTGTGCTTGCTGGGTATGTACTAGGGACTTTAATTTTTCAGCTTCTTCCGATCCCGGGATTTTCGGTATGTCGTTATCACAATCCTGGGCAGCGTTGCAGCTTTGGTAATTTTTAACCAAAATTGGTATTTTTTTTATTTATCAAGTTTGGTAATTTGGTAATTAATTTTTCAATTTGGTAACTTTTTCGATTCGGTGTTACATGTCAAATAGGTCAATATTGGTTCTGAGTCCACATTAGTAAGTGGTCCGTAAGCGTTTCCTTTTATAGAAATACCAGGTAATCTTGAAATTTCGCAAGGCGAAAGTTGTTCCAGCGTTCCTTGGCTACTAGAATGGTGATGTTTAACAATCTGCTTGAAAGTGGCTCTTGGTATATCCACCTTGGCCTTTCCTGGAAGGTTTTGGCAGGTCCTATCTTTCCCTGTCAGTTCGTCAGCTTTGCAATTACCATCAATTTTCCGGTCTACCCGGCAACCATATATATAGTTTTGTAGTAGAATTCTACAAAAATATGTATGTTCTCATTCAAAAAGCTACGGCATTCAGCGGGGGACTTCACTCTGTCTATGTGTGAGACGAAAGCTTTCCTTCAAGCGTTGAATTTTTGATATATTTTCTTGTCACTTTAACAGAAATCAAAAAATTCAAATTTCAAACTTTGTTCAATATTCAAAAAAATTCAACAAACTTTCGTTAAAATTTTAGGTGAATGGAGCGCTAATTGCCTAAAAAGCTTTGTATTTTCGGATATACATATGTACAAACATATCGAGCCCTAACTGCCAAAGTAACGTAATCGACATTTTTTTCAAAATTTTCATTTTGATGCAGAAGGCACCTAGATGTTTTAGGAATATTTCTGCATCAAAAAGAAATTTTTTTTAAAATGTCGTTTACCTTAGTTTGGCGGTTAAATAAGTTTGGTAATTTTTTGTTGAGTTTGGTAACTTTTTCCGGTGGCTTTGGTAAAAAATAAAAAAATTGTATGGCAACACTGATCCCGGGATCCCGGCATTAGTCCAGGGATTTAGATATTCATTACTTTTCAACAACTTAAACTGAAAAAATTTCTTCTATTTGTTTGAGAAGCTCTCCTACTACTGATAAATTCCAAAAATTATTTAAAAAATTCAATGCAACGTAGAACAAAAATGTGGGTACCAAATGCAAGGGGAAATTTCTTTAGAATTTAAAAAAATTAAATTTTTTTGGATTCACAAGGACGAATAGGTAATTTTTTAAGCTGATAAAGTTAGAAGGTCGAAATTCGAGGATGTTATCGAGTTTATATACATAAGTCCTTAATTTATATTTTTTTCAAAAACAAATATTGCGAAATTTCAAGGATAAAATTTTAAAAGGACAATTTCAATACTTACTAGTCCTTCTGCACCAAAAACTTGAGTCTGATTAATTTGATACCCACACCTCTTTTCTAAGCACATTTCTCTGAATTTTTATACCCGAGCGCACTTGTGCACAAGGGTATTATAACTATGTTCTCATAACGGTTGTTTGTAACAGCAAAACGAATCGAGATAGATATAGATAAATGTATACATAAATGATCAGAATGGAAAGAGAAATTGAATAAGCCGTGACTGTCTGTCCGTCCGTCCGTCTGTCTGTACTCGAGTAAAAATTAAGATATCTTAACGAAACTTGGTACGTGTACTTCATTCGGGCTCAAATTTTCAGAGAATTTGTTTGTAGATATTTCATACAAAATTTCGAGGTGGGAGTAAAAAAAATGGTCGCCGAAAAAAAGCAACCTCATACACGTATCTAATGCACGCTGGGTAGTTTTAAAAATAATCATTAACCCCGATTTAGATTTGCTAAAACTTCTTAGAGCTTCCTAAGAAAAT